GAGTGTGGCATCCAAACACTCGTGCCAGGCACGCCTCGCCTGTCGCAGCCCATATAGGGACTTCTTTAGCAAACAAACGATGTCCTCCTTTTTCAGCCTTTTCAACATTTTCTTCGTTGCTTCCTAGATGTATCTGTCTCCTTGTCCAGCCCGAACGATGTGCTTCAGTATGTCTTCGAGGTACTCTGGAGATTCCACAAAAATTGTCTCTTTGAGAGTTGACCACGGTTCCGATTGACCACGGTCTCGATTGGTCAATATTAACGTAGTCAATAGCAACGTGGTCAATAATAACGTGGTCAATCGAAACGATGGCCAATATTAACGTGGTCAAATGGGGCGCTCCCGGTTTTACGCCTTCGCTCACGAGGAATTTCATTACAACACGCTGTTTAGTTTTTGAACTAGCATGGTTGCGCGCCATGTTTCTTAAAAAGTAATTTGCGTGACCCGCGACATTAACGCCACCATACGGCGTTAGAAGACAAGTTGTAACTAATCAGCATGATTAATAAGATTTACTCAAGATCTCTTCTTCTGCTCATAAAATTAAAAGTCCCGGTTTGAATTGAACGCCCCTAGTATCTGGTCTGTCACATAGTTTTAAACCACCTTGCCGGGAAACAACACTGAATTACTTAAAGGATAGAAAAAAACAAATGTTAAATAGACTTCAGTAAACATTTAGTTAAGTTGATTATGTTTGTACAACAACAGATATATGGAGCAACATTCATAAAAGTTAAATGGGTGTAACATGCCATTATATAGATGAAAATTTAAAAAGACCTTCTGTCGTGTTAGGATGTAGGAGAATGAAATTTTTACATACATATTTAGAAATTGGACAATTACTTACTGAAATACACAAGTCATTTAATCTAGATGGTAGAAAATTAGTTGGCACAATAACTGATAATGCTAGCAATTTTGAAAAATCTTTTAGAGTATATTCTATTCCTGAGAAGATGGAAAACGCACAAGATATTGATTTTATTAATAATGATGATCGGTGCAATATTTCAGTGCACAATATTCCTGATTTTTAGTCTGTTGAATTTTCTAATGATATAGAACAAGAAAGTGATAATGATAATAATGATGTGATTGCTTTGCCACAGCATTTTCGTTGTTGCTCACATACATTAAATTTGATTACAATAGTAGATTTTGAAGAAGCTTTAAAAAACACAGCTTATTAAAAGATTTATAATTCAACGTTTGGAAAGTTAACTGCATTCTGGAATATCTGTCACAGATCAACAAATGCTTCAGATGTGGTCAAAAGTATTTGTAAGTACAAAGTTATTGTTCCATGTAAAACTAGATGGAATTCCTTTTACGATTCAGTAACAAGATACTTCTTATTAAAGAATATCTATTACAAATTTGTGAAACATTGCAAAAACCAAAACTGAAGTCGTCGGAATTAGAATTTTTGGAAGAATACAAGAATGTTATGGAATCTTTAGCTAAAGGCATTGACATACTCCAAGGTGAAGAAAACTTTTCTGGGATTCATTTTGCCCATATTGCTTCAAATAAAACAAACATTAAATTCATTGACACACTTAACATATTGTAAACCATTAAAAAATGCTATTTTGTTCAGTGTAACAAAAAGATTTGGTCATATACTAGATTTACAAAACAGTTCCTCTAAATCATACATATTAGTAACTGTTTCGCTACCAAAATTTAAATTAAAATGGTTAGCAAACAAAGATGAAATTAATCATATTAAAGAGTTGTTTTTATCAGAAATGGAAAATATGTATAAATTTACTATGAGAAAAACAATAAGTGATGAGATTGATGAGAATATCGTAGATGCTGATAATGTTTTTGAGATATTAAAAAATAAGCATAAAAATAATGAAAATTTAATATCCAAATAGATAATAAACTATCTTCTTCATTTGTATGTACTATGCATTATTAAAATATTTAAGTGATAAATCTAAAGAGTTACAATCTTTACATAATTATAATATAGTACTTTAAATATTTAAATTGTATAATACAGTTTTACCTTCTTTAGCGCCAGTAGAACGTCTATTTAGTACTGGAGGTCAAATTTTAATACCAAAACGAAATCGTTTATTGGGTGAACTGTTTGAAACATTACTTATGTTAAAAAAAATAAAAATATTTACAGTATATAATTTTATTTACCTGTTAAACATATAATAATATATATTACAATATTAAATATTATGTAACCTCTTAAATATATAATAATATTACAATATTACTAAATACTAACATACAAATTATGGCTATTATTATGTATCTGTTACATCATCTAAATAAATTTTTTAAATAAATGAATCTATATCTAGTTATTTATAAAAATATGTATCTATATCTACACCTAATTACATTTTTTTCAAATAGCTGTAACTGTATCTAGTTATTTTAAAAAATGTATCTCTTACAACTGAAGAAAATTATTGACAAGTGAAGCTTCAATAGCGGTCTGTGAGACTGATATAGTGGTTTAAAGGTTAATTTTCCTCCGCTTCTAAGGAGCTTGGCACACTAACGAATCAACTAGCATCGGATGATATTCGTTGACCATTCAATCTACCAGTTGCACCACGCTTTGTGCGCGTTCAGATATATTCCCACTCAAGTGCTATCCAGGTATCATATTATCATTGTTATTCATTGAACGTAAAAAACAAAGATAACGTGATACATGAGGAACATTCGGATGGGAATCTGAACATGCTCTTTGGTGGTAAATGGGAGACAGCTGTCAAATCTGCGAAGTTTCATCTTTGCGAGTTATCGGTGACGTACGCCATTTTGACGTACGAGAAATCATACGGACGAGGAATTCGTCACGGTGCTCATGTAGCTAGAGGCCGTTCTTAATTCTCGACCAATTTGTCAAATTTCAACCCTACGGACACAGAGCTATGCATGCCGGCGCATTTTCTCATTGGCAAACCAATTTCAATCATTCCAAAAACCCTCTCTCGCGGATGTAGCTGTCGCCTCTTACGTTGACAACAGTTACGAAACGATTTTAGCAACGCTGGTCCACGTACCAACGGATATCGCCAAATGGCAATCTCTCTCACCAAATTTACCTCGGATCTCTTGTCTTAATTCGAGACGAGCGGTATCCATCTGCCAAGGTCGCGTTGTCGAAATTTACGCGGGCGCGGATAATCTCATTCGCGTCGTAACAGTCCACAGGCTTCTTTGCTTCTTAAACGATCGATTACTAAACTCTGCCCGTTGCTTATTACATCGTAATTACAGTTGCAATTACTGCATTTTCGATTCGCAATCCGCGGAGTGTATGATGTTAGCCCCCCTTTTTTTGAAAATTATAATTTTTAAAGTTGTTTCAGGTTGTTCTAACTTTGTTCCACATTGTTCCAAAGCAATATTGTTTTATAACGATCAATTCTCCAATAAAACGAGAAAAATAATTTTTTATCTTGCCGTCCTTTTTTCAAAAATCAAATAATTTCTTATCGATATAGATTGTTTTAGTTGTTCTATAAATTGTTCTAAAAAGACGATTCTATAAGTCAAATGAAAATTTCGGAACAAAAAGAAACGTTTTTTACCTGGCCCTCTTTTTTCAAAAATTAAAAAATGTCTTTTCGCAATACATTGTTCTAGTTGTTGCAAACACTGTTCCAAAAGGTCATTTCCTAAATCAACCGAAATCGCGGAAAACACAGAAAAATGTTTTTCGATTTCCGGATCAAGAGTAATCTTCCCTTTCTTGTTCCAATCGAGAACTTTATGTTCTGAATTCTAGACCTGCAAAACATAGTTCTGCAATATAAATCTGTTGTACGAAATTGTATTCTTTCTATTTCACGGTTTTTGCTTTATTTCTATTGGTTGCGCTTACTACAAGCGCTAGTTACTTTTTCTTTTCCTTTGTCTTATGATTGAATTCGTTCCTGCGTATTCGTACGCTGCTGCTTGCCACGTTAAGGCTGTATAAGGAATTTGAATATCGAGATTTTCGACCTCCATAGAACGATAAATGTCATAAATAACGAGTTATATGAGTTAACTACAGTTTTATTTAATGAGTTGCCGACTTACATCTGGAATCAAATTTTTAAACACCACTCGAAATCCTTTGACAATTACCGCTATAGATTGTTTAATAAGAACAACGATAAACTAACGTGATTATTGCTTGCTGAGAAACGGAATGTCATTTTCAAGATTAAATCCATTAGTACCATGCTAACGTTAATGTTAATGATATAACAAAAGTTAAGACTTATGGTTCTAATATTACCAGTACAGATTTAGACACGTTGACTTGTGATATTACGTTAAAATCTGAAAAATTTGCACATGCAAGTAACAGTCCTATTGATAATATATGGACACTAAGTGGTTCTTAAACTTGTCTGAAAAGGCGATTCCAAATGAAGTTTTGAACCTCTTACAGCTTGGTGCAGGTTTTTGCCTTCAAATCGGCTCGAATAAAAAAGACGCGATTTTTGAATTCATATTAAAGGATTTCGAGAGTAACATTCGGCGAGCGAGTATCACACATAAAATAAAAGCTGTAGAAGCACAGTTATTGCACAACTTAATCATTTTTTAGATAACAAACAACAAATAAATAAATTACATTTACAGTTGAATCGCTTGTCTAAGTCGACTTTTCAATTCTGTCGGAATAATCCAGACATTATTTTTATTAATGCTGACAAAGGAAATGTTACTGTTGCACTGGACAAAACATGTTACACTGAAAAAATCAATATGTTAAATGATAAGACGACATATTCGATTGTCAAGAGAAATCCGGTTAAAAGTATTGAATCACGTTTTTTTATATTAAAAGTGTATCTGAGGTAGTTACATCTCCTATAGACAAAAATGAGTTTTTAATCGGATACAGATGTTTGAACAAATTAACCGGCTTTATCAGGCGACACAAAGAAAAAACCCTGTTGAATCAACGAATAATGTCGTATATAAAATTGCTTGTAAAGACTGCGATGCATTTTATGTCGGCCAGACCAAAAGGAAACTAAATACAAGAATGAAAGAACATAGTAAAAATATTGATTATGATGCTTCTAAACATTTAGTTATCTCCTCTCATATTATGGACCTAAACCACACCTTTGACTGAAACAACAAAAGAATTTTAGATCATGAAACAAATTACCACAAAAGAATAGTGTCTGAAATGATTCATATAAAATCACAAATTAATGGTCTTTTGCAAGTGATACCGAATTGCTGGATCCATCATACTTTAATTTATTATCAAAATTCAAAAATTTCAAAATTCGACAAGTAACGTCTTATTAGTCTTGTATGTTCCTGTGTTATTTATAAACTATTATTGGTGACCGCTGATACCACGCAGTCTCTTCAGTACTCATTCGTATACTGTATATGACAGCGACTAGTGTGAATATATTCTCCTTTGTCCATATAAGAAAACCTTGTGAATTTTTTACATTTAACTTATTGTTAGTAAGTTTTTAATATTTCTTTATATACGTTATTTATTTTTCATTTTAATTACGGCCATTTGAATCCATAGACGATGTTAACTTGGTTATTTGACAAATTTTCACAATAGAATTCCAATGGAATTTCCACTCTGTTGAAACGTTTTATAATATAAACAAAGAGACTGCTCCAAAAGAGAAATTTCGACGACCACTATGATTATATTGACTCTAAATTGCTATTTTTTAACGCCGATTACTTAATATACATTTTATACTTGACCCCTTACTACTTTACACTAATTTATTGTTATTCATCGATTATGAACTCATATGTTTCCGTTCGCTATTTATTTAATTTTTTGCGGCTGAAGAAGGCTACGTAAAGCCGAAACATGTACCGCGCTTATTTGATTAGAATAAATTTTTATGTTTTATATTTAAGCGTCACCTTATTAGTGCTCGTTAGTTTGGCCTATTCTATAATTTGATTGTTTTTACATTGATGAACTTGCCTCACATTGTTAGGTCATTATTAAAGTTGTTCTTATCTTGTCGTTATTTTTATTTTATCTCTGACACTCATTTGATTTAGTTATAACTTTATTGTTTTTTTATTTGATATGATTGCAAATTTTAACTTTTCTGCTATCAAAATTCATTGTATTCTCATGTTCCTCTTGACTGAATTTTTATATTAATTAGCGCTTCGCACGCGCTATTTCATATTTTTTTTTTTTTACTATTTGCTATTGCTCTATCAACTTCTATACATAACAACTGTCAAAATATGCAATGACAGCCACTCACGAAGTAAGCGCAGTAAGAGAATCAATCAGTATCGCGGAAAAGCGATAAAATAAACTTCGATAGATTCAAGTATCGACTTAACATGTCTTTTTTAGAAATGGATTAAACATATGAGCATTATATAAATATACATTAAAACAATGGTGCTCAACATTTTTAAAACTGAAAACCATTTTCAAAAATAAGCAAAATCTTGCGAGCTGTATAATATCTATTTCGATAGCACATATACGAGATGTACAATCGTGGACAGATCGGTTGCGACACTTTTTTTTATACGTTTCAAAACGCACTAATATTTTGCAAATGCAAACCACGATTAATGTTATACTGTCTCTAGACTAAAGATAGTACATCGTGGTTCGCATTTGTAAAATATTAGTTATCTATAAAATATATATTACGTATATTAAATATATATTAGAAATCTATAAAAAAAGTGTCGCAACTGATCTGTCCACGACCTGTCTCTTATACACATCTC